TCTGAGGGTAGAGAAGCTACATTCTGTTGGTTGTTAGAATAGTCTAGTCTCCCACTTCATTAGAGAGCCTGTGGGAGAGGGCTCTTACTTGGGCATTGCTAAGCTCAAATAGTGGTCATTTCAGGGCAGATGGCTCCTCGAGGGAAGGGATTGTGTTTACTTTCTTTATTATTTTCCTAGCATGAGGCCTGGCCCAAGGTGAAACCCTATGAACAGGGATTAAGTTAGTAAATTGTGAAGGGAAAAATTACCTTGTTATCTGTATTAGTCAGTTTTACGGCTTAACAACTGCCAACATCTCAGTGGCTTCTAAGACAAAGGTTGGTTTCTCATTCATAGGAGTTTCCTAGGCGGTAGTGGAGGTCCGGTTCTGCTTGCCTTCTTTCTGAGGCCCGCAGACACTGTGCGGGCATGCCCAGTGCTGTGCGGGCCTGGCTCCTACCAGCTCACAGCTCGAGTTGATGGTGTGCATCTCTTCCCAGCTCCGTGTTCAGTGACATCATTTGGGTAGCCTAAAACAACTTTGCCTTTACACCGTGGAAATTGGCAAACACTACATCAGGATTTGTTTTTGTTTTCTGAGAACCAGTTTATCAACACACTACCAGCTTCCTGTGACAAAGGAGCTGGTGAAAAATCACAGTGCCTCTTCAGACCAAAGCAAATCACATGACCACAGATGACAATGGGGCAGGGACACCATTTACAGGAGCCCCTGCGAGTAATGTGACAAAAATGGGCAAGAGGGGACAAAAGGTTGTGAACAATACTACAATCTACCCCGCTCTCTGAATCATTGTAACTGACCAAACCCCAAAGTGGGACATGGGGAATAACAGAGCTTCTGCCTCTGTATTCCCTGAGCCTCTGCCAAATGGCAGGGTGGTGACTGGGATTACGTTGGGCACGTATTAAAGGTGCCCACCAGAATTCCTGGTTTAAAGTAAATGGCCAATATATAATAACTACTAGAATTTCTTGCTTTTACTTTTTAATTATCTAATGTCAGTATATAGTGAGACTCAAAAGTCAGTATTTCTTAAAAAAAAAAAAAAATTGTTATTCCCCTAGATGGGGTGTGTGTGAGGGGGAGGACTTCCTTCAGATCATATTGCCTGCATTGTGGCTTTGCCCCTGGGTTTTGTGTTGGCCTAGGTCCCTGAGAAGGAGGTGGATGGGTCTGCAGTCCTGAGCAGCATGCATGTGACAAAGCTTCCCTGGGGAGGCAGCAAGGGATGCTATAACTTCAGATCCCAGGCAGCCAGGAAGCTTCCTTTCATTTGCCCCAATTTGTCTCCATCCAGTAGTCCTAGTAAATTGGGGCAGGAAGGCGGGGGGTGAGATGACACATGACTAATGTTCATGGCAGGGAAAGGAAGACCCTGTCGGTCTTCTGTGTGTGCTTGCTTAGCAGCTGGGCTGGGCTGGGTGGATGTTCAGGCAAGAAAGGAGTTGGTCAGGATGCGTGGAATTTTCTTACCCGCCAGCTGAGCCTAAATAACAGGCTTTGAGATACCTCCCTGTGCCCTCCCAGGCTGAGCCCCAGCACTCCTGCAATGTTCTGTCCTTTGGGAGGCCAGGGGAGCCAGTCCTGGCAGAGACTAGAGAGGAAATCAGGAGAGGAGGGAAGGGGGAGGCAGAGTTCTTTGTTTCTCTCCTCAAGCTCCAGATAACTGGCATCCTTTGGGGAGATCTTGGTTATTCAGAGCATGCTCTGAGCACTTGACCGGAAATTTGTCAGTGCCTCTTTGGCTACATCATTTTCCCACTCTCATTCACTTTCTGATCGTGATACTTTCTCAGTAAATTTGAAAACAAACATCCAAGAAATCAGAATGTCATTGCCAAGGCATTATAAACAGCTTCTAATGGTGTGTTCCCGTAACGAAAACATACACTAAATATTTGCATCTTGAGTGTGCGGGTATACATTTACAGGGCTGCTCTGTGGTCCTGAATACACAACAGCTCTGTTAGCACAGAGCAGGAATCTAATTGCTTCTGGGAAACAAAATCCATCCATCATAAAGTTCTTTTTTATCAGATGGAATTTATAAATATGATCAAAAGACTGTCCTGTAAAAACAACACACACATAAATCCTTACAATAAGAGCATTTTCTAGTGATATATAGTTTCCAATGTTTTTCATTGTCTCCTGCTCAATTTCTGCAAGTTAGCAAAGCTTCAGAGAGAGGTTTCTACATCTTTGTCTTATAATGCAGTTTCTCAAATTTCAGAACACTCATTTGCCAGGTAGAAGGCATCCTTAGGCACTTAACACAGACACAAAGAAAGGAAATCTGCGAATAGATTTTGCAGTTCATTTATTGCTTTGCCAGATAAAATCCTGAGAATGGATGAGGGCAGCATTCTTTGTCAACCACAGAATAATTTTGCAGCAGCACTTGGACAACAATTTTTTAGGGGCAGGGGGAGATCTGACCTACCTTATACAGACCATTAATTGCAAAGCTGGAATACAAGGAACCAGGCAGCTCCAGTTCTGCGTAACTGAATGAATTTGGCTTCTGTACTCCAACCTCCAAATGTTACTAAGGTGAAGGTTACAGTCAAAAGGGGGAGGAAACTGGAGTGGCCCAGCCAGCTTCTGCTCATTCAGAAAAAGAAGGGCTATGAGTTAGTTCCAAAAAAACAGTGAAAAATGTCTCCTTTGGAATATGTGTCTCATTTTGTTGCTTGGTCTTCCCAGTGAGATCCTCTTTTCTCCCTTCGTCCCTTGGGCTCTTGGAAAAACTTCTTGAGGAAAAAAACTTTACCCCAAATGATAGTGCAGTTAGGGCCTAGCAATAAAGAACTGAGTAGCCCTTCCCGCAAGGGTAGTTTCATTTTATGTTTTTCTTATTCTGGTATGTTTGTTGGTCTAGCCTCCCCAGAGTCTGGTTACATAAATCAAAGCACACGTGAGAAAGTACATTTTTCTACAGAAATGTCCCCAGGCAGTCAGCAGGCATCTGTGAGCAGGAAGGAAGAAGATAAATAAGAGCTGATAACAGTCCATGTTTATTAAGCATGCACCATGCACCCGCGTGGCTGTAGGAACTGTAGATCATGCAATGCACACAACATCCAAAAGTAACAGTATTCTCCTCGTTTTATGGATGAGGTAAAACGATGGGTAATCATGTGTACAGCTAGTACCTGGCAGCATTTATGAATGCAGAACAGTTCCCTTAACCACTACCCTTAACTAGCAGGAATGTTCACCTAAACCCTCACAATAATCCAACTGCAAAGTGTCATTATTATTATTACTCCCATTTTGCCCATTGGAATAATTCAGCCACAAGTTAACTTTCTCATGGTCACTCTTAGGAAGGGACAGGGCCAGAACGTAAACCCTTCCAAAGCCTTTCTTTGTTCTTTCTACACATTGCTTCCACCACATCGCTTCCACATTGCTTCCACCAAGCACTTGGCATGCATATTCTCAAAGAGATTTAGCACCCGATTTGTATTTATTAAGACAAATATGAGTGAAAAACAGACACGGGACCTAGAGATACAATTTTAAGAGTCTGTCTCTTCACTGAGGAAAAGGTGGGTGGAGGAGAGCGGGCTTTCCTTTTCAGAGAGGACATATGGGAAAGGGCGTTTGTCTCTGTAGTTTACAGGGGGGATGGAATGACCTGCCCGGACTGCCCGGTGATGGAATTTGGTAGCAGGTGCAATGGTGATGGTTGCAAGGGATGGGAAACTCCAGCGCACAGACTTAACCTGGAGTGACTTTTAACAAGAAGCCTCCTGGTAGGAGACCTTGAGCGTTGGCTCAACTGTTCACAGATGCATTGGAGCTTGGGCTCTTTCTCTTTCTGCCCCTGCTCCCTTATCAGGCTGGCCCTCTCCTCTTGAGAATCACAAGAAATCTGTCATAAAGTCAGGAACAAAAGGGAAGAAGAATGCACCTGTGACACTGGTACCTGTTTGCAGAAACGCAGAGGCTTCCTCAGACTCTACCTGCCCCCATGGCTTCCTCTTAGGTCTCATCCATCAGCCGTGTGTCCCATGGCCACCCCAGCAGACAGGGAGGCTGAGAAAGCCAGTGCTTCCCCGGATACGCGCCCCCAGCAGAACTGCTTCCCCATATGGACGGGGTGGGGTGGGATATCACAGACAGCGCGCTGTGGTTTAGGAGGCCAGGGTGGAGAAGAGTTGGCAGCGGGGCTGTACTTGGAGAAGGAGGATATTAATGAGGAAAATGTCCTTGTGCCCTTTGAGGTTATCTTTCCATTTAAATGGCCTCAGGTGCCAAAACCCGTTTGACTTAGTGGATAGAGTGTCTGCCTGCAGACTGAAAGGTCCCAGGTTGATTCTGTCAAGGGCATGTATCTTGGTTGCAGGCACAGTGCAAGAGGCAGCTGGAGGCAGCTGATCGGTGTTTCTCTCTCATCGATGTTTCTAGCTCTCTCTCTATCTCTATCCCTCTCCCTTCCTCTCTGTAAAAAAATCAATAAAATATATATATATATTAAAATAATAAAATAAAATAAATGGCCTCAGAGCATTACACTGAGATCCTTCCTTCCTTCATCCTGTTCTTGACTCTCTTCACTCCTTCTGCCCCAACCCCACACCCATAGGCCTTTGGGCTAAATAATGTTGATCAATATCGATCATCTGACTCTGCTTTTTTTTTTTTTTTTCAATTCTTACAAATAATAGGCATTTAATAATTTATTTCTGAATTAATACTTAATGAGATGAAAACATTTCAGGCAAATATCAGCGGGCCAGGGCCTTGGACTGCATGGCCAGAAGGTCTCACTTCACTAGAAGAGAAGCTCCTCAGAGCCTATGGAAGACATCTGGAGGCCCTTGATATCAGATTCCACATGGACCACTGTCGGCTAAGTGGCCTGACTCAGACAAGAGCAATCTGAGGGGGCTGAGGACTCTTGGGTCTCGGGTCAACACAGCTCTGTTTGACCTTGTTGTTACTTCATGATTATAGCCCCATGTCTTCCTTCTTTGTCTTTCAGAGCCAGCTGTCCCAGGCGCTGAACGGGCTGTCGGACCGGGCCAAGGAAGCCAAGGAGTTCCTGGTGCAGCTCCGCAACATGGTCCAGCAGATCCAGGTACCTGAGGCGGCAGCACCCGAGACAGGCAGCAGACCCTGTAGGATAAGATGAAACTATGTGATGGGGGAGATTGTTTCTTCTCTTTTATTTCTATGTGTTGTGGGTGAAATCCTATTTCTTCTCTTCCATTACATACCAATACACATACAGACCAGCTTCTGACATATTCCTTCTTGAGGCGTTACATTTGCCAGTCGCCAGAAAGAACCGGGTTTTCCAAGTAATTCCTATCCTCCCTCCACACAGAGGTCCTAATTCTCCACGGCTGTGTATTTAGAAAGTCTACTTCTTTATGAATTTAAAGTCATTGTTGTTGAGTTTGTTAAACTCTATAGGTTCCCTAAGCACCTCGCAATGATTACATCTTCTCTAATGGGAACAACCACATCGCCCTTGCTCTTTTTTTTTCTTCCTTCCTTTTCCCCTTCCTTTTCTTCCCCTTGCCTTCTTTTATGCCCCATAGGGATGCTTCTCCTCTACTTAGATACTTAAATGTTTTTCAACCACAGTCTCCTGGTGACTATAATTTCAGATTGCCTTATCTGGACACAATGATCCACAGATCAGCCAGCATCTGGAAGCTGGTGAATTTTTCCCTAGAGCTAAAGGGGAGACGCCATAAATTGCATGCCATCCTAAAATAATGACTTTCTTCACTGTTTACCATTCTTGTGTCTTGAAATTTACCTCAGAGAAGTATCCTGAGCTCTGCCCTCCATTAAATTGTCTCTCTGAACTAATAATTAACCCATGTCAAGGCAGAAATGGCTCTTTTTAAATGTAAGACAGCCTTCTTTCTGTGAATCATCTCACACTGATTTCTTTGCCTATTTTTGGCATAGATGCCCATGTTAAAACTTCTGATTCCTTAACCACCTAACGGCTGTACACGTCCTTCTATTCCCCACGCAACAGAGCCTCTTCTTTGCTTTTGCTGCCATATATGATGCAGCCCCAGGCTTGCCTCTGACCCTCACCTTTTCATCAGACAAAGCTTTCCTTCTGGTCCAATCAGAGCCCATCATAGAAAGCTCCCCGCTCCCTCCCAATATTGCCCTGCATGGGTCAGAGAACGCTCTTAAATGAAGTTTTCCAGGGAACTCCTCTGAGAACTTAAGGCAAGTGCCACGAAAACCAAAACTTAACATTGCTTATAATTTAGTGAAAGCATCGCTTAGAATGAATGTGTAATGAATTTAAAAATGTAGATCCAGCATTCAACGTAAGCATCGTGGGGAAGCTACCATTCATTTAGAATGTGGTCACCTTCCCCCACAAGCTGTTGGTTCCTGTCTGACTTTGGCAACCTACCCATTTATGTTCACTTTGCTTCCCTTATGTTCACTTTGCTTCCCATGATTATTCTTACAAACTTCCGGTGTCGACTGGTTATTGTTTACTATTGAAGACCATTGCCATTCTCTTTCTTATTTCTTTTCCTTCCCCGAATTCAGTGACTCTTTCATCTCTCCTGTCTTAACAATCACCACCCCCTCAGGCAACCAGCCTATCTGAATGTCACCTTCCACCAAACACAGCTGAACATATGCCAGTCGTCAAAAGGATTCATGTGCAACTCTACAAACAAAGCTTGATTTTATTTAATATAATCCAGACTTTGGAGATGACTCCCTTTTGCTAAAAATAAGTTAAGTGATAGTCATCCTTTTTATCTAAATTTAGAGCAGAACACCACTTGTTTGTTTTTTTTGTGGATGTTTGTTTGTTTGTTTGTTTGTTTGAGATGGCAAATATACATTGTGGACAGGCAAATGTACATTCCTTCCCTTCGGTGGGATCTCTACCCCACAGTGGATGGGCAAGCTTGGAGCTGGTGAACCGTGCAGCTAGTGCCAGGTTCTTGGCAGCTCTTCCCGGCAGGTCTTCCCTGGCAGCTTATGGCTGAGAGGTGTGCTCTCTCACACAGGAGAACAGTGTGGAGTTCGAGGCCTGCCTAGTGGCCCAGTGTGATGCCCTTATTGATGCCCTCAACAGGAGGAAAGCCCAGCTGCTTGCACGCGTCAACAAGGAGCATGAACACAAGCTGAAGGTGAGTGCTGGGCCGTGGGGGGACCAGAAAGCCAGGGAGCTGGGCTCCTCGGGCTGTGACAGGCTAGGTGGGAGGAGAAGCAGGAGGCCCACAGCCTTGGGAGGTCAGGGAGTGGCCTGGCTGGCTGGCAAGGAGTAGACATAGCCCTTTATTCACCACTCACTTCTTCATTTTACTCAGCAGGATTTGTTGAGTGACTCCTCTGGGTCAGAAGTTGCATTAGGTCCAGGAATAATAAAATAAATAAAGATTCCTGTCCCCATTCTAGAGGTGAGAAGCCATGGCTCCAAGATCTTAGAAACTGGTCCAAGGACCCAGGATTTCAGTGCTGGTAACCTGGCTTTGGAGCCCAGAATCTGCCCTGCCTCTGGCTGGTAGAAATACAATGCATAGAGAAGGTTTGTCCCCACCTACACCCTCTCATCAGTCCCCCAGCACCTACTGCACACCTGCTAGGAGCTGAGTGCTGGCGGCAGGAGGTGGGGGAGAAGGTGGCTCAGGATGAGATGCGCCATTCCAGAGCCTACATTTCAGAGGATGAGATAAATCACACCCACACAAGACTTCAACACAGGTAGAGAGTGAGCTTTCCAAGGAGTGGGGGCCAGTGCCATGGAGAAGGGTAAAATTACTTGCAGCTGAAAGGGTCACAGAGGGGATCATGGGAGAGCTGGCCCTGGAATTGCCCAAACTTTGGGAGGTGTGGCAGCTTACGTTCTCCTGTGTGGGATTTGGCTGAGCTTGGAGAGAGGAAGACAGTGGTTAGCACACTGCACCCTGGCCTTGCTCCATCCAGGTAGTCATGGGGACAGATGCACCTGTTCGGTATCTGTCGCTGCTCTGACATTATTAACAGATTGCCACTCTAGTCCTTCATTTTAGCATGCTTCAGAAATCCAGATCTCTTGTTGCTCTAGCAGAACTCAGTATACCTTTTGAATCAATCCCACAGAGGGATCTAAAATAAAAACACAGTTAGCTTCAGGAAATGAGCTGTACAGCTGGGGTTTTCCCTAAATAATGGGCCAATGGTTTTAGTATCTAGCCATAACATTGTAATGTTTTCTCAGTGGAAACGCCTTTTCTGAAATATTGTAGACACTTTCCTGGCATTATAAAGCAGAACACAACAAACAGTTTGTAATCAATTATATGGATGGTGATTATCGTGGCAACTTCAAGTTTCCTATTGGGGACGATGTAAGGGCAGGAATCTGGGTGGAAGAGGAAATCAGAGATTAAGAAAGCATCATTTATTTATATCAAAAGGTGTCATGAAGCTCCCCAGTCTTCCCCCCCTCCCCCCTTAGTGCTGCCTCTGCAGATGGTACTGGATGGAAACGCCTTATAAGCTGTGCTGTGGGTGCAGATGGAGACCACACAGGAGCAGTTTTAAGGCACCACTGGGGCTCTGCCCCGCAGGGTGCACTAAAGCTCTTGAGGGCTGCTGAGCAGAGGGGCCTGCCCTCAGTTCACTCTGCCCAGGGCGGAGTTCCCTGCCCCAGATCCCAAAGGGCTACGGAAACCAGAGACAGGTGGCTGGGTGTCCCCCTCGGCAGCAAAGCTGTTCTGTCTTCTGTCTCGAGCGATTTGTTTCTCTGCTGTTTCAGCTGATTGTATCTGTCACTGCTTCTAAAAACGGCCGGCAATGCCAACGCCGTGACTACCGATGCCAGCCTCCCTGTCTCTCTCTCCGTTTTTGTCCTCCTGCCTTTTCCCTTTCTTGACGCTTCTGTTGCTACTGGCATTTGTGAGAAAAGACTGGCCTTTTAGGGCCATCCCTTGCCAAGCACAGTTCTATCTTTGCTGGCTAACCCATCCCTCACAGTCCAGCAGGGATCATCTTTTGGTCTTCCGCTTCCTTTGGTCGAGTTCTCTGGGAAAGCTTTTTGCTGACAAAGAGGGGAGTTGTGTGTGTGTGTGTGTGTGTGTGTGTGTGTGTGTGTTCGTTCGTTCTGGCAACTTTCTCTTCCTGAGCAATCCAAAAGGCTCGGGGTGCTGGGAAGTGAGCGTGTACAAAGACAGCCTTTACAGTCTGCTCAGGCCCTCTCTGAGAGCACTGACGGCTTGAGCTCATTGAGCAGTTCTGTTCACAGGCAAGATGGAGCTGAGTGCTGAAGAGCCCAGCCTCCGTGTCAGAGAGAATAGGGTTTGAGGACACCCTTTATCATTTACTGGGTCTCTAACTGTGGGCAAGTGTTAAGCCTCCGTTTCTCTTTCCTGTGTGTGAGATAAGTAGTCATCACTTCATCTGACATTGGAAAACATTGAGCAAAGTACCCAATAAATATTCGCTATTATTATTGATGTTATTAAGGAGAGAGACTGACTAGAAATCTGGTTTTACTCAGCAGACTGAAAGGCTCCTATAGGCTTATCCTTCATAAACTATATATATATATATATATATATATATATATATATATATGCCTAAGGGACTGTTATGACCAGTTGACTGAATGACTGGTTGACTAGTCACTATAATGTGCACTGATCACCAGGGGGCAGACACTCAATGCAGGAGCTGCCCCCTGGTGGTCAGTGCACTCCCACAGACAACCTTTAGTGGCCAGTCCCAATTAGCCCCTGTTGTTGGCCAGGCTGAGGAACCCCACCCCTGCACAAGTTCGTGCACTGGGCCTCTAGTATTTTATAGTGTAGAATTAGCCTGCACATGGGTATCACTGTCTCTGAACCTCAGACATTCTTTAGTGGGCTGAGTTTATACTTGATCATCCTACAAAATAGCTCACAAAGTTGGGTGAGCTATTTTTAAAAGCTTTTTTTTTTTTTAAGAGGCTTTGAGACTTATGCAGATGTGGCCATATTTTAGGAAAACTGTTTGAAATGTAAATTACAGTTGATATTATTCTGTGGTGTGAAAAAAGCACTGGGAGCCAAATATCTATTTTCAGGATGTGGTCAACTAAAGCAAATGTCAGGAAGCTACTTGAGAGAAGAAAAGCTTTTGAGCTTTCAAGAAATATTACCAGGTCATATTTGGGACTCCTGGGCAATGTCCTCATGGCAAACAGATAGACTGGACCACAGATTCCCTGTCCTGTCTGCATGTTTGTTAACATCCTTCCCAGGTCTGCCCTCACTGAGCAAGGCCCTGAGTATTGTCCTTTCTGCGATCCTCACAGGGAATTTGTGACAACTTACAGTAAAACGTCTCATTAATGAGACCTATGCTTTTCTCAGGAACTTTACAAATGCTATTTTTCATTTGCTAAACCCAAGGAAACATCTGATTATTATTGTTATTTATGTAATATTCAGAATTTGAAATAATTATCTTAAGTGTATTCTATCTCCAATATTTTTTTTAATGAATTCTTATGTTGAGTAGTGTGTGATAAGTGTCTTAGTTATCTTTCAACCCCAAGATTCTCTGGGAAAAGAAAGCAATAGTTATAAAAAAAATATTCTGGAAAAGTATATTCTTTAATTTCCATAAACTAACATACCAACAAAATGACTCAGTGAGAATGCCGAGGGATATTGATAAAGCTTACTGTTTTATGGAGCTTTTCTTATTTATAAAGGGTCTCCATATCCCAATTGTAATTATCTATAGAATGCTTGATTTTGAATCCTACTGTACTGTTGGATTTTGTTAGAATCATTATTGTTATTACATCATTATCTTTGTTATTATTTACTATGTATTTGTTATTCTTTACTATGTATGATCCCATTATGTTTGTTAAAAACTAATTATACGGCCATATCACTGAGTACAAATTTACACTAATTATATTATTGGCTTGTCAAATTGCTTACCTAAGATATTTTACCATTGATTCATAATAGGCAAGAGAGAGAGAGAGATTGGGGAAGGAAGGAAGGAGGGAAGAAAGAAGAGAGGAAGAAAGAGGGAAGAAGGAATATCTGTTTAAGTTCACAAAGAATTTTAAAATAATTATATAGCATTTGATTGGCTACAGCCATTGCTAGAAAGAAAATGCAACAGATTCAAGCCAATAATTAGCTCGATTCCAATAAAACTACTACTGGCTAGAAGTTAATCTTTTACAATGAAGACATTTGGAAAAATTAGGCACACTATAACAACTTCTAACCTTCAGCAGCTCTCATCAGAACTCGTTAGGGGCCCAAGTCTAATAATTAAGCCACAATTATTATTGATTGTAAGCTTGTTATTTATGGGCAATTCCTTTCGATTTCATTTGGCAAATTCTGTGGTCCTCTGCCACCCACCATCTAGGAGCAAAAGTCACAAAAAATCTGTACGGTGGTATGTGACAAAAAAAAAAAAAAAAAATGATGTTCTTTCTCAAAAAAAAAAAAGTTTCAATGAATGTAATGATAATATGGGAGATAAACATTCAACTCTAGGAAAATAACAGGAGGATTCTTTATTGTATACGATGACTCTAATGGCCAAGGTGCTTCACCTGTAACTCACACATGAGTCAGTTCCAAGCATTAATAGGTTATCTTACTTTAAGACATGATGCAACACATAGATACTTCCCCACTGACCAAAATGGCCTGTGAAGAATAAATTTAAGCATTCATCTTTACAGTATTTGTACCTCAAATAGAAAACTAAAAAAAGATTACCTCATAATTACGGGAATTTGTTTTAAACTGTGATGGGATAGTATACATTATATTTTAAAAGAATTTCTTGAACTAGAAGAAATAGGATGTTAATATTTACTTAGACTAAAAATTCATTAGTGGTATCCCTGCAGCTACTATGATGAGCACACTGTGAGTAAAAGTATGTATTAAACAGAAAAAAATAAAGAGAGGTGAGATGATTTGATTTTCCCCCCCATCTCCTTTTCAATTGTTTTAGAAAGTCTATGTAATAATCTTTAAAGTAAAATAAATTTATAATGACAAATGAAGAGACATTAAATAATTGTTATTTAAACTCCTTTTAGTTATTATCTATAAAACCTGGACTGTGGGCTGTTTTTGAGGCTTTTGCAAAGTAGCATGAATATCCGCACGTGAGTGAGTGCGATTCCTAGAAAAGCCTTGTTCAACTCCGAGCTTCAGAAATGACCTCAGGATCTGGGCCACTGAGCAGAGGACACACAGGATGACCATCTCTGAAGAAAGAAGCTTTTCTGGGGCTGTCCTCCGTTTGACACCGGGCAGAGACAACTTCCCAGAGGCAGAAGCTGCCTTTCTAGGTTAAAGCTGACGCCCAGCTTGGCAAATAGGACAACAGCCTTTAACACTGCTTTCCAAAAGGAGCAGATTCTAAATGGGTTATTCTTAAAACTCAATTCCGCAGCCGTCTCTCTCCGGCTTCCTGGTCATCAGCTCATGGTCTTTCGGCAAGTCCCACCTCCACCCCCACCTGAAGAGCCAGGCTGAGAAAGGAACTGGGTTCAGATGGTGATGTCTGCTGTTTAGAAGGACAAGCCGTGGTGGGAGAAGGTGGGGGGACTGTGATCCAGAGCGGGAGCCGCAGCTGAGCCTCAGGTGGCTCGGCTCCTTCACAAACTCTCCATGACCCCCCACTTCCAGCCACCCAGGGTCATCTGCTTCCCAGAAGAGGAGAGGAAGGGGGACCGGTGGACGATGTCCTCTGAGGGACCAAGCTAGCCAGATTCTCATGATTTCAGTCTGCAGGCCTGTCTGGTGGGTCCTGTTGTCACAAGTTCCTGGAAGAGCCATTACCCACGCTGTCCCCTGGGGTCGTTGTCCACAGCAGGCACTGCCACAACGTAGTCTCATCAGTTTAGTTTTGCTCCAGGATGCTCTTGGATTCTGGTTTGAGGCAGCTTTCCACCTTCCCAATTTGATTCCTTTCTACTCTCTGCCATTTCTCGGACCATTCTGTTCTGCCGTCGATCCTAGGTGGTTCGAGATCAGATCTCTCACTGCACGGTGAAACTGCGCCAGACCACAGGCCTCATGGAGTACTGCCTGGAGGTGATAAAGGAGAACGACCCGAGTGGCTTTTTGCAGGTAAGTATCAGTTCGTTTCTCCCTCAGAGTCTCAGTGTCCCATGAGACTGACTCTACCAAGGCCAGATTCCCACCGGTCCTAAGTACGAAAGGTGTCTATCTTCTTGACACCTCCTACTTGTCAATATGTCTCCCACCAAAAAAAAAAAAAAAAAAAAAAAAAAAAAAAGTGAAGTTTTTCAATTCCTTGGATGTCTCATGATTTCTTCAGAATTAGTTGTTTTAGTGAGATGCTATGAATGTCAGTTGCATTTTATTTAACTTTCAAATCCCAATGAGTAAGGGGCCTTTCATTAAGGAATACTTAGATCACTTGCAAGTCACTTTCTACCAAACTGGCCGAGAATGACAGAGATTAAATATAAGAAATAAAAGAGCTCTCTGCCAAAGAGTTTACAGATTATTGTAGGCAGCCTCTCTTAATTACTTGTAAAGCTCATTTCCAAGTCTTGACAGGATACCCACACCTCAGGTGAGAATCAGGGTTGTTGGTTCTAGTAGGATTCATCAGTCACCAGCATATCTTTATTTAGTGTTGTTGGCTTTAAGCTGATCGGTCACAAATAGCATGATCATCCATCCAGATTTGTCTGTTAGACCCATTAACAGCTGCTGATTTTTATATCTCCCCTGTGACTCACAAAAGCGTTGAGATTTGCATGATAACTCACAGGTCACCCTCACCCTAACCGGCTCCTCGCTGCCTGCACAGAGTCAGGAGGGTGTGAGTCCCAAGGAAGTGGCTGGTGACACGCGGGGAGAGTTGCGGGCAGTGTTCTCTGGCCACTGTGGCGGTGTACTTCTTAGGCTGTGGTCTTTGATGTGACTAGATTTCTGACGCCCTCATAAGGAGAGTGCACCTGACTGAGGACCAGTGGGGGAAAGGCACGCTCACTCCCAGGATGACCACAGATTTCGACTTGAGTCTGGACAACAGCCCTCTGCTGCAGTCCATTCACCAGCTGGACTTCGTGCAGATGAAAGGTGGGTGCCTGTGTCCTCCCAGTCGTAGCACCAGCCGAGTGGAGACTGGTGCTCGAAGCAGGGTCAAGGCAAACGAAAGGCAGCTGCCAGGTTTATAAATCACCTGAGAGGCGGGAAGGTAAACACACATGCCTATGGTTAATGTTACAAAACCTTGAATGCCTCCTTTCTTATGGTGTAATGGACATGTAGTTTGTAAGCTGTGTAACCTACCTCTCAGAACAAATTCAATGCTTGCCAGTTTGAGAATCTTAGGGATTTCAGAGGCTCAGTATCAGAATAGGTGGCAAAAACAAACAAACAAACAAACAAAAAAAAATGGGGTGAGGGGAGGAGTGAGAGAGAGAGAGCGCGCGCATCCCAGTACATAAATGTTATCTTATGGCAAAAAGTAACCCAGAAATATTGACAAAAATCAAGAGAGTTCAGAATTGCAATGACTGCTTCCACATGGTTAAATAGTGAGCAAATGATTGGACATGGATTAGTGGAAAGTTGAGAGGATCAGGGGCCTGCCAGTACTGGTCAGAAAAATTGAGTCTGGACAGAGAAGAAAATTTGAAATAAATGTTAATGTTTTTTATTTATGTGATTAAAGGCTATGGCAAGATCTCTGAGATTTAGGTGTGCCCAAGGGAAAGGAAAAATACTTAAAATTATCGTAAGAAAATTAACTCTTTCAAATAAAAATAAAAACTCAAACCAATCATGCAATGATATTTTAATGGCAGAGTAAGTAATATCCATTTGAAAAATATTAACTATCAAATAACATTAAAATCAGGAAATGGACATTGGCACGCTGTGTGTGTCTGGTCCTATGCCTTTTTGTCAGGTGTGTAGCCATCACTGCAACGGAGGTATTGCATCAGCACAGAGATCTCCCTCGGGCTATTCCTTATAGTCAGTCACCCCCTCCCTCCACATCCCCAACCCCTGGCAGCCATGATCTGTTCTCCATGATCCCTCACTTTATGATGTTTCCGTAAGAAATTGATTTGCTCTTTGCTTCTCTTAATTTAAGTATCCACATAATAAATGATTTAAAAGACACGGACTTTAAAATTTTTGTTTTCTACGAAAAATCTACATGCTTCCTTTATCAGACAGACAGAACCATATAACTCTGCAAGGTGTAGGGCCATGTACTGCTGGCTCATATCATGCAGTGAAATTTAGCTTCTTAATGGGTCTTTACCCTCTTTTATTTTTCAGTTTTCTCATTTTGTTGCCCAATATGTATTGCTACGGAACAATGCCCTCATTCATATTGAAGGAGAGTGTAAATTGCAAACAAAAATGCTTTGCTGCAGTGACAAGAATGTTTAGCATTTATAGACTGCTTACCAAATCACTCTTCTAAGTGCTTTCCATGGATTAACTCCTTTTATTCTCACGGTGCTACTAGGCAGCTGAGGAAACTGAGTTACTTGTGGAGATTCACACAGTTAGTGAGTGCCAGGCCCAGGATTCAAGCCAAGGAGCCTGGTTCCGGAATCCACACCTTCAACTTCCAGTCTGTACTGTAAAGCTAGTGCCTTACTAAGCAGCTTCTTTGAGGAATAACTAACTTCCTCTCTGAAACTTAAGAAATTTAGTTTTTGTTGCAGCAACTCTTTCTTGCTGTTTAAATATTCTTCTTTTCCCTGGCTGCTGTGGCTTAGTTGGGTGACCTCTCAGTGCATTGTCCCATGCACTGAGAGGTCACCAGTTTGAATCCTGGTCAGGACACATGTCTGAGTTGCCAGCTAGATCTCCAATGGGGGTGTGTAGGAGGCAGATATTTTCCTCTCTCCCTCTCTCTTCCTCTCTCTCTAAATATAAATAAAAACGTATTTAAAAATAAACAAATATGCCCTAGCCAGTTTGGCTCAATGGATAGAGTGTCAGCCTGTGGAATGAAGGGTCCTGGGTTCCATTCTAGTCAGGGGCACATGCCCAGGTTGCAGGCTCCATCCCCAGTAGGGGGGATGTGCAGGAGACAGCCGATCAATAATCCTCTCTTTCATCATGATGTTTCTATCTCTCTCTTCCTCTTTCTTTCTCTCTGAAATCAATAAAAATATTTTAAATAAATAGATAAAAATAATTTTTTCTTTAAGATCTATGCAGTGGCCTGTGAAATACAGTCATCTGAGTAGTGGTTAGAGTCCCAGGTAATCCCCGTCCATCAGCATCTCTCTGTACCCAATTCTCTCAAGGAGGTAAAATCGTTCAAAGTTTATGTCACAGCTCAAAAGAGAAAATAGGTCACAAAAGGACAATGTAAGGGCTTCTGGTGGGAGAGAAAAAAGTGAGCTAACCCAGTTTGCCTTGGTGATGGGCAGGAGAGGAGGGACAGGTGGAGGGTAAGAGCCTCCGGACTCTGAAGAGCTTCCATCTGCTGGCAGAGCCACTCCTCCCCTGTTCGCTGTCACTCTGAGTCATGTCCTTCTGCCCACCATGGAGTCCAGGCCACTTGGTAGGATGGTAACCATTGTGTTGGAGTGAAGAGGCCCTTCATCTGGTCTGGGAACTTCAGGTTTATGGGCTAGGCCTCATAGATCACGTTACTAAGGCATCGTCCCTCGGCTGTTCGGGCTGCCCCAGATAGGAGCATGGACCCAGCTGAGAGTACAGCCCATTATTCTGTGCACACAGCAGAGTGCCAAGCACTCTAAAGGCCAAAATGCACACACACCGCGAAAGTTCACCTGGGACACAAAATTATGCAGAACAGTCATGTATGAAGGTGATATAATAGGTCATTGGGTAGGAGGCTGGATTATTCCCTTTTCCTTTTCTTTTTGACACTTCATCTTAATTTAATTTACTTCTGATTGGTGTCCCTCTGCAGAGTTCATTATATGCTTTGTTTTGTGCTCCTGAAGTTTAGTTCAGTGAGAGCCATTCCTCTTTAGAACCTGAATAATTTGTATCCGTCAGATGCTTGCGACGGAAGGAAAAAGCAAAGCTCCAGATGCCCTGGAACTTGATTGGCTGTTGTAAAGACTGGCCTCTGATATCTGTTAACATCTTCACGTCTGTATCAGTGTAGCTTTAGACTTTATTTTTTAGTGTATTTGCAGTCATTTAATAAACTGCACTTTCATAGCTTATCAGTAAAGAAAAAATCTCAAGAAACCGCACCTCAAAATCCATGTATAAATGACCAAAATTTAAATAGCATTTTAAGGAATCTGACCATTTTTAAACTAACAATATGTGCAAGGGAGTGTTTTTTAATGGTTCCAATTGTCTTTAACTGTGGATTATAGTAGAAAATTAAAATATTTTCCAAATTACTTAAAATATACATTTAAAGTTATGACTCAAACTATCAGCTAAATTTTCTGTTTACTTTTTCTTTTTTTTCTTTTTTCTTCTTGAGTCAAAATTTTAGCATTTCTCTGGTTTTGGCATTTCATCTCAGATGCCTTTTTTTGTTCTTGATATGAAAGAAGATAGTTCTGTTGTTGGTTTTTACATGTTTCCATTTAGCCCAGATACTATTCAGCAAGAATGTACTGCCTAAAATTATTCTATTAACTAAGGATTTAACTAATCTTCTCTTTCTGATCTCATATCATCCCCAAGCAATTGAGATCTAAGTGGAGATTGCTGGTACCTGCTTTGTTCAAGCATCCCTAGATTTTAATGACATGTTCTCTGGTTGCATTTTGATTAAAAACTTATCCTAGCCTCTTTCTATACTGTTGGGAGTGGTGTTTGATCTCAGACTTTTCTTTTATAAAAAATAATAGATTAAGCTTTGTTTTCTGTTTTTATTCGTTTTTGTGTGTGTGGTTAGTTTTTTGGGGGTATTTAAGAGAGTTGTTTGGTTGTTTAGTTTTTCCTTAATTCTAAGTTGGTATTGTCAACTTTTCCCAGATCACAGAAAGGAAATTTTAAGATTATTTTCCTAATCTATTAAGGGCTTTGCTGCTTGGCTCAGAATAGATTTCAGAAACTACGCCCTCCCAAAAAAATATTACCCTAGAATTATCTAAGTGTACAGAGTATCTCAAGATTCACTAGTCTGGGTGGTGAAATGTGTTCATTCTGAACCAGATGAAAGTAATTTAACACTCCTTCTCACCTTTTTAGCACATATACCAACAGCTGCTAATCCCCTAACTGCCGCTACTCACCTAAGACACATTTGACTTTATAAACTCATATTGAAGGTAAGAGCTCTGAGTAGGCACCAAGGTCATGGGCAAAGACAGTGTGACCTTAACAGACCCTCCTATAAATCATGGAGAAAGTGTGCCCAGAGGTTTGGCAGTGGAGATGAGCACACACAATTACTTGCATGTAATCTGTTCATGCCTGTAATCTGTTCCTGGCTTGGGGGCCTAAAAGGCATGTCCTCAAGACCTGTGTTCATGTATAGCCTTAACAGTGTAGTAGTGATGGCTTGCCAGAAAAAGCTTATTATTCCTCTATAATCTAAACTTGCCCTCAGATGCCATTTGTATTGTTCAGCCCCCATAAAAAGAAACGAGTTCACAAAGGAACCTTCAGACAAGGTGACTCAGCAAAATTGCATTTCCAACCACCATGGGTTGCGCGGTGAAACATTCATTAATCCATGCCATCGGGTCTTTATCGTCCCCATATAGAAACCAAAAAGAAACTTCCCCTTGGAATTGGGTGTGGGGGCTTCCCTCTGGTGCACTGTTACTAACCAGCCAACTAGAGAGACAGTAGAATGCAACGTAAGCTTAGCTCTAAATCCCAGCCCTGCCACTTACAGCCATGAAGCCTTTCTGTTTCAGTTTCCTCCTCTACAAAGCTGAGATAATAACAGTACCAGTTACTGTGGGGTTGTTGTGAAAACTCAATGAGTGAATACACGTAAAACGTCACCACACCATCCTGCATTCAGTATGTGCTCAAGGCCACCACCTATCCTTACTTTTCATGTCGATCCTGGGAGGCCCACTTCCGTTCTGCACATGTCCTCACACGCCTGCTGCCTTCCCAGAGGAATTCTGAGTGGCTGTGACTGTTCACTCTCTGAAGGATTAGGGGGGAAATATTACATGAATATGAAAAATGTGAGATAAGAATTTGAATGAAATGGACTTAAAAAGTTACAACACTTGAAAATTTTGGTATAAGAAGACACCGTTGCAAAATTTAATTTTGAGCCATGGCCCCTTCAGGGACGTTAGTAAGAACAGCTGCCCCTTTCTCTCTAAGGGGAGGCTTTTAGCCTGAGGCTGGATTTTATGGGCTCAAAGAATGCTAAGTTCTAGCATTCTGATCAGAGAGGAGAAATTAGTTCTTTAGAGAAAAAAAAAAGTTGTCTGGAAATGATCACAAAAGTGTCAAGATTAAGATAGCTATGGTAGCTTCAGTGACAGGAGTTTCAATAAAATAAAACCTTTTTTCTTGTAGTTCAGCACAGGAAGTGTGATGCTATCCATTTTCAAACCACAAAAGGTAAATTAATTTGGAAATATTTTGGATTCTTGTAGACTTTATTTTATACCCAATACTAAAGTAAAATGGGGTAACATAACACCCACTGTCAAATGCTTTTCTAAAAATGTCAGCCTTAATATTGTCACATTTGCCTTTTATATGCAACTTCACTTTGGGGTAAATAATGAAAAAGAAAAAATAATTCTGCCGAAACCGGTTTGGCTCAGTTGATAGAGCGTTGGCCTGCGGGCTGAAGGGTCCCAGGTTCGATTCCGGTCAAGGGCATGTACCTTGGTTGCGGGCACATCCCCAGTAGGGGGTGTGCAAGAGGCAGCTGATCAATGATTCTCTCTCATCAATGTTTCTAACTCTCTATCCCTCTCTCTTCTTCTCTGTGAAAATTCAATAATATATATATATATATAAAAAAAAGAAAAGAAAAAATAATTCTGAGCACATTGAGAAATAGATTTAGATATACAAATGTTTCTTGGACTCTTCATTTAGTCTCTTTCTAGTTAGTCTCTCTCTCTTTCTCTCTCTCTCTCAATCTCTCTCTCTCTCTTTCTCTCTCTCTCTCTTGTTTGCTTATTTGCTTAAACCTGGGACAATGTTAAGATCTGAAAACTAGTGAGCTGTTAGATTTTTTTCTACCCTTTTGGTCTTTTAAAGTGTACCCACTGAGGACTTATAAATGATGTTCACATGCTTTAATTATACATGACACTGTGCATTTCAATTAGCATTTTAACTATATCTATGTGCATATAGGAAATTTGAGTTTCTTATCAGTCATCACAAGCATTTGTATATTCAGGTTGAAACCATCTTATTGGTTTCTTATTGTGATCTTATTCTTTGATTTTAAAATCGATGACATGTAGACTTTCTTGAAACATGAACAAAGGTAAAACGAGACTGCTATAGGGTGCTAATGAAATAAAGAGAGTCCTAGGAATTGTTGATTTATGGATGTTCTAACCATATGGCCAGTTAAGATCAAATAACCCCAAGGAGAGTCATTTCTTGTCTTTAGAACCCTTTGAAGAATGGTTAGCTTGAATGTATTATATCTTACTCCTCAGTTAATATACTAAAGTATATTCCTTTTACATGGAAAATATTTAAATGACAAAGTAAGTTCCTAACGTGTATAACAACCTAAAGTTAACCCTCTAATCACAACTCATAGGTGATACCTGTTTGTGTGTAGATGGTCATCAGAATCATTAGAGGGCATTATGTCTTCTCTCTCTTCCTTCCTCCATCCAGTCCGGTAGTCTTTCTACTGAACAAGGTAATGAATGTATCTCCTTTCTTCATGTCCAGATGTTCTGGGATTTCTGGGGCTCTGGATGCCATTGTTCCCTGATAAGTTCCACCTGCACTCTATGCCATTGGCACTTGAAACATGATGTCCCTTCCTAAACTGATCACCTCCAATTAACCATAATTTTAATTTAATTACATTTGCTATAGTAACTCAGGCATGGTTTTCTCATAATGTATCACAGTCTTTTGCTTTTGTTTCGTAGGTTACATAGGACCCGTTTCCTATATTGCTGTTAAATTAACTGTCCTCTGGGTTGGTGTGACTGGCAAAGGGAGCAGACTTAATTCAATGCATGCCATTCAGAGTCCAGTTTGGGTCCAGCATACCTCTTCCACAATTAGCCTTTTTTCATCTAAATGTCCCTGGGTGTGAGCCAAACTGTTGTCTCCTATTTTATTTTATTTTATTTACTTATTAAAATATATGTTATTGATTTATTTTATTTTATTTTTTTACAGAGAGGAAGAGAGAGGGCTAGAGAGTTAGAAACATCAATGAGAGAGAACCATTAATCAAGTGCCTCTTGCATGTCCCCTACTGGGGTTGTGCCCTCAACCAAGGTACATGCCCTTGAACTGAATCAAACTTGGGACCCTTTAGTCCACAGGGTCTGACGCTCTATCCACTGAGCCAAAATAGTCAGGGCTCATCTCCTATTTTAAAGTGCTACAAAAATAAATTCATACTTTGGTACTGAAAAGTAATTGTTAAGCAGTTGGTAAAAACATTGTCCCCAGATTTTATATATATATATATATATATATATATATATATATATATATATATATATATATATCGAGTTTATATAGAAAGTTGGATGATTCATGATTCGTTACCTAACATTTCTATGTCTGAATGTCTGAAATCAGTTTTAAGTAACACAGAAGACTCAGCACAAAATGGAGACAGGTCTATGTTGTGACTAGTAACCATGGGACAGATCCCCCCAAGGTCACAAGGACACCCTGACCCTCCCTGACAGGCCCTGTCACTCCCATACTGCTCTCTAGGCTCCCAGTTGACAGTTCTATACCTGAAGAAAGAACGGACTTGAGCTAGTGCTGTCTTCAAGGTAGAGCTCCCTTGAAAGAATGTCAAGTTCCTCAGAAGTTTCAAAACTGAGAAATCACTGTTTGTGTCAACTGATACCAAATTTTCAAAAATACACTGTTTTAGTTTTGTATATGCACAAGGCCTTGAATAGAATCACTGGTTTAAAAGAACAGGACCTTAGAAATATAGTGATTTCAGAGATATTTCTCAGAATAGGCAATTCCAAGTTTATAAACTTGGGATGTAGGGCCCAGAATAAATGTTATGATAGATTTATCCGCCATGGTATAGATTAAAAAGGCTTTTATGGGCTGGACTGGAAATTTATCCCCCATGCAAACCATTTCCCTTAGAGATGGTGTCTTTGATGCTCAGGGAGTGAGAACAGAGTACTCAGATATATAGATATAGATATAGATATAGATATAGATATAGATATAGATATAGATATAGATATAGATATCTATATCTTGAGTTAAGGGAGGAAGTACCCCCTGGACTTGGCAAGAGGCAGCACAGTGGCTCAGGAAGCAGTCCCACTCCTGGAGGCAGGGAGGGAATCCTGGGCAGGCCCTCTCTGCCCCCGGCGCCCCCTCCGGAGGCCACATACTTTGTCTTGTCGCTTGTTTATCAGAGGAATGTTTATCATTCCAAGACACTGAAACGTTTGCAGTGCAACAGAAACCAGGGTTACACTAATTTCTGTTTAGCTTCCTCTCCAGTCCCAGCAACCCCCATCCTACAGCTGGAGGAGTGCTGCACCCACAACAACAGCGCTACGCTGTCCTGGAAGCAGCCGCCTCTGTCCACAGTGCCCGCCGAGGGATACATTCTGGAGCTGGATGACGGCAGTGGTGGTCAGTTCCGGGTAAGCAGAGAGCCTGTTCCTGATTAACCAAAACCAGTGACTTCCTCAGTGCCCCGCCGTGCAGGCTCAGGCCCACTCTCCCTCCTCTTTGGAGTCGTGCTATCTGGCAGGGTCTGTCTGTCCTCAACTGAGGCCTGCTCTCTCCTAGTACCATATAAGAGATGAAGAAAGGAGTATCTGAACAGTAATGGTCCTGCCCTCCTCCCCCTCCTTCTTCTTTTTCTTCTTCTTCTTCTTTTATTAAATTCAGAGAGGAAGGAAGAGGGAGGGACAAAGAGAGGGTAAAAAAAAAAAGAGAAAAAGAGAGAGAGAGAGACATCAGTGATGAGAGAGAATCATTGATTGGCTGCCTCCTGCATGCCCCTGACTGGGGATCGAGCCTGCACCCCAAGCATGTGCCCTGACCGGAAATCAAACCATGACCTCCTGATTCATCGGTCAATGCTCAACCACTGAGCCACGTCAGCTGGACATGGTCCTGCTCTTCTTAAGAGGAAGTTCATGCAGAGCTGTGAGCTCTGGAGGCTGAATGCCTGCATTCAAGTCCAAACTCCACCCTAGCTGGGGCTGCATTCCTCGCCTCGTTGAGCCTTCATGTCCTCAGTTGTAAAATGGAGATGATAATAATAACATGTACCCCCTGCCTTCTTAAGAGTCATTTAGATCATCCATATAAAGTCCTTAGCACGCTGCCATCCCAGACTCCAATCTTCTTAGAGTCCCACCAGAGAGTTGACGTTTTAAGGCTGTGCTTTGAACGTGAATTATTTTTACTCATTACATCAGCATAATGTTGCAATGTGTGCAGCTAAAGAGGGAGGTAGATGCCTAACCTATGCTAACCATGCATAATGCTAGGGTTTATTTTAAGCTTTTGAAATGTCATTCTCTCTCCCTTCCCTGTTTCTCCCCCTTCATTCTGTACCGTGAAAACCTGTACGCCTATGGCTTTCAGTGGGTAGTCCTTGCCACAGTCCTGAAGTCATTATTGGAGTTATAACACAGTGTGGAGACCACCCTCATGTCTTCAGATCTGTGTTTTACAAATCACACTGATGGTAGATAAAGAGCTCATAGGTATAATACACTGTGTAAATGCTGTGCTAATCATCACAAGCATAATGCTATCTATGACACACAATTTTAATTTTTTTAAGCCCTCGCTGCTAATGAGTCCCATTCATTAAGCTGCTGTGCTAACTACAAGGCACCATGCTCGTCAGTTGGCCTATGTGACCTCATGCCATCCTCACACGAACCCTCATAAGCTGAATATTCCTATAACCCTTTTCCAGATGAGGAAACTGAGGCTCAAAGAGGTCAATTAGATGGCCCGAGAGCTCCCAGGAGTCAAACCCAGGTCTGAGGCCAAAGCATATTTCCCCCTTAACCACTGGGAACACCACCTTCTGACGCGCCTCCCGAGGGTTCCCGTTAGTTAAACGACGTCCCGTTATCTGTCGGCCCTCAGGAGGTGTACGTCGGGAAGGAGACCATGTGCACCGTGGACGGCCTCCACTTCAACAGCACGTACAACGCGCGCGTCAAGGCCTTCAACAAGACGGGCGTCAGCCAGTACAGCAAGACCCTGGTCCTCCAGACGTCCGAGGGTAAGGCCCTACAGCAGTGTCCGTCCGAGCGAGAGCTACGAGGCATCTAAGCCACAGAGCCCCGCAGTGTGGCCGTGACTCGCTCTGCACTCTGGCCCAGGCCCATGGTGTGTGGATGTGTCAAACCAAAGAGGCCACGGCAACAGTTCAGATGGCTTGGGCCAGCGGCTCCCTTTGATAACTGAATAGAAATGGCTTACTCTAAGTAAGCTGCCGTTGAAGAAGCTGGAACTCCAAGGCCTGACTGTCCCCCCAGCATGTGAGGCCCTAAGTCTGTGAGGGATGCTATCTAGGCAATAGAGCAGGCTCCCATGCTCCGCCATCCACATCCTGGGCTGCTGTCACCCAGATGCTTCTGAATGGCCTGTTAGTGCTTGCTGGTTCCCGAGGGTGGACCGAGGCTCTTCCCAGCTGCGGAGGTGTCTGACCCACCGTGGTTCCCATGGGTGGGGTGCTGGAGTGGTTCAGAGAGGGCGGCCGGCCACTCTGGCTCACCCAGCATGGACTGCTTCCATTTCGCACCCGAGCCCAGGCCGGCGGCACCAGGACTGAGGCTGCCCATGGGCGCCAGACAGGACGGGACCAGCAACTCCACGTTACCTTGCCATTTCGTCTTTGCCAGTCCTTCTAGGTGTGGTCAGGCTGCCGTAGAAAGTCAGTTTCTAGGTATTATGGTCTGTAAATAGTTGGGTCATCAAAGGGAAGCCATGCAGCTCAGATGGCCAGGCGTCATCTCTGAGGCTTTTAACATTTTCATTTTAAAAAGCAATTGCAACACATGAACTCCAGCCTATGAAGAGGTGTTTGTGATTTTAATCATGCCTTTGGGTGTGGCTTTAATCATAGAAGACCCCCACACCACTGGCATTCTGCCTAACTTCCCTCTGCAGAACGAACCATGTTGATTTGGGTCAAACTCAAGACGTTAGCTAAAAGAACTATGGTAGTGTGTTTTCCACCCCCCGCCCCCCCCCCCACACACACACATACACTTTACACAAACCTCAGCCCGTGCCAGTCACCCCTAAAATGGTTCACATGGTTAAAAACAAGCACAACTTCAAATTCCACAGCATGGTTGATAGGCCCCTGGCCATGAAAACCATGGGTGGTGCGCAGTCGTGCGTCTGTGAAGGGTGCTATTCAGAGAGAAGGATTTCTTCAAGGGAAGATGCCCACATGGTCTATTTCCGTTTGGATGACAGGGATGTGGCAGCTGGAGTCTCCCTGAGATGATCATTTTAGCTTCCTCTCTCCGGGATGACCTATCAGCCTGAGAGCAGCTGCCTCTTTCCCCACAGCCCCATGGTCACTGCCAATGCCCTCCGAGAGTTCCTCTTAGTCGCAATGCAGTGGGCCCTTCAGGGTGGCGGCCTGGTTTCCATGTGTACAGGATGTGTGACTGAAGAGCAAGGTGCATGCCGTGGGAGCAGGGAGACCATTTGCTACTCATGTTACTAACCCATGTCATCAGACTTACTGGGACACTGCTTCTACTCCTAATACATCGTGGAAATCATACTCTTCTGCTAAAATCAGTTATTATCAGCTTAGCAGCTTGAGCACTCACGTCTCTCTTTTCATCCTGCAGGAGGAGGTAGTTTGTAGCTTTCACTTAATGTCCGTAAGATTGTGGTGTCTAATAAATTACACAGTTGGAACTGCGATCCTTGGTACCACAGTCACAGAACTGGGGGTCATTTTCTAAAAGAAACTAACGGAACAAGTCCTCTTCCAACACAGAGACTGTGCTGTAGACATAATTTCCTCCATGAATTTTATATATTGTATACAAATATAAGGTATGTATCTAACTACAAAGACAACCTTAGCGTCGTGTAGATAACCAGTATCCTCTGTTACCGCACAGAAGTGATTTTCTCATGATGAAATAAAGTTCACACACGTATGCCTTCTCCATAACTTTGGTTTGTTCTATTTGTTTCTCCCTCCATTCAAACAGCGAGACAAGATTTAGAAAGCAAAAAAAAATAATAATGAATAGTTTTTTAAATTTAATTAATCTGTAACAATACAGAAAGCCTATAGAATTAAAAATTATATCTTCTTTGTTTTTTTTTAGAAATCAGTGAGAAAGATGCCATTAATGGAGTGTTGATAAATTAACTGAGCTTGTGCTTTACTAATATTATTTCCTATAATTCCTGGAAAAGTTTGCTTCAGAGATTTTTTTTTCTTTGCTGCTATTGGGGGTGAAAGGGTGATTGGTTTTGGCTTTCTAGTATAATAAAAATCTTTTGCATTCTTCTTAACCTTTCCAAAGTTCAAAGCAAAAAAGTCTGTGTCATAGAATAGAATTCCTAGGTGCTTGCAAGTCAAACTTGTATGTACATGCATTCGTCTGAGGTTTAAGTCACTTCACTTATACCCTTTGAATGATCACAAAAGTTTCTGCTGATCTAAAGGTAACATTAGGGAAGATCAGATGTCCACACTGTTATGAATTCTCATAATTTTTTTCAAAATCAGATGTGTTTATTTATTTATCTATTTGTTGGGCAGTGTTTGATAACTACCCACTGTGTAGTAGGCTGTGGCTATAGAGTGTCAAGCAGACCTCTCCCTGTTGCCTAGGAAGAGAGACTGGCCTTAAAGAAATAGATACACAAATAGTTGCATGTTTGCAAGTTATGATAAACAGTGTGAAAGAGGAAAAAGGGAAGACATAACTTGTATAGGGAAGGTCAGAAAAGCAATGAAAAATAATTTAATTTGATAGAAATGATAAAGAATGTGTTATTAAAAGAGCAGAGAAAAGGCAAATATATGTTTGGGTAGTTCCCTACAAACAAAGTTCTTGGGGATGTACCTAAAACAGCCATACAAATAAGGTTCGTTGTATTCCAAACCAAATTACCCTGACTTAAGAAGAAATTGAACTGCAAGCAACTAAGAATGTCAACAATATTTTAAAATACAGCCTACAACCCTGATGAGATATATATATATATATATATATATATATATATATATATATATATATATGACATTGTGTAACAATGTCTTCTTAATACATAGAGTTCTGGACTCAGTCTGGGAGACTATTCCTAAAATAAACATGAAGAAGAAGAAAGGGAAATTTTGTGTTTACTTTTTTCTATTTCTCTCTGCCTATCGAAGTAGTCTATACTTTTTTCTATGTTTTTAATCTGGAGAGAAAATGAAATAGACCAAAGGCAGTATTCCTGGGGTCACATCCTCTATGCAGGCTGTTTGTTAATTGGCTGAAAGAGAAGCTCCCTCTGCCAGCCTCAGATCTCAGCGCCAGGGAGCTGCTCCCCGCAGCCTTTCCACAGAGGTGGCGCTGTGCTCACCACGCCTGCAGGATTAGGACAGGAAGGGTTGCACGCTGTGTAATAAATACTCTAACACAAATCTTTGTGTGAAAAGGTTATTTTCTTTGGACAACTTCCTACAAGTGGCATTATAACCAATGACTTTTAAGGCCCTTGATCTGTGTTTCCAAATTGCCTTTCAAATAGATTTTATACTAGACATGTATGACTATTTAATTTTGCACTAATTCTATTACTTAGAGTTTCCTTTTAACCTACAAGAAGCCTCTCCTAAAAGTAAAAATGTTTCTAAAAGAGGGGTTTTTTTTGGACGGTTTTACAAATGGGTTATATTTTTTATTATTTTTGTATCTCATTAGCTCTTATTTGAATGTTTCAAATACAGTTTACATTCAATATTATTTTGTATTAGATTCAGGTGTACAGCATAGGGTTAGACAATCATACCCTTGGCAAAGTGAGCACTCCAATATTTCCAGTACCCACCTGGCACCATACAGAGTTATTACAATATTATTGGCTGTATTCCCTATGCTGTACTTTTGTAACTACCAATTTGTACTTCTTAATTCCTTCACATTTTTCACCTAGTTCCCTCCTCCTTTCTAGTAATCATCAGTCTGTTCTCTGTATCTATGAATCTGTTTCTTTCTTAGTTTGTTTTGTTTTTTAAATTCAACAGATAAGTGTAATCATATGATATTTGGTCTTCCTCTGACTTATTCCAGCTAGCACTAAAAGAGGGTTTTTCAAACGTATATTTTTCATGGGAATAATATTCTGGCTGTTTTACATCTTAGAACCACATGAAATACATTACAACATATTGCAGGGAGATGAACATGATCTAAAGGGAAGAGAAGACTTCCCAGAGAAGAGAGAGGGAGGGAGAAATCCAAAGGGAATAACTGTGTGTACGCCTAAAACTTCAACATGTGCATTAAGGTGACTGTGAAAAGGACATCATTCATTCAAAAGCAGTAACTGAGCACCTCGATGCTGTCTGACACTGGGCTGGGACCCAGGACCACAGAGATGCATAAGGCATGCTCCTGCTCTAGTACGGATGGGTTTTACTCCTCCTCCTTCCTGAACCGCATGGCACCTGACTCAGAGCATCTAAAAACCATGGCACCACCTGACCTCTCTAAAGCTAAGCTGTCTACCCTGCAATCAGGATGGTCATCTTACAACCAAGAAGTAAGCCACTATGATCTCTGGGAAGAAAAAAGGTTCAGGCATAGAAGCGCCTGTGCTTTCCTCACAGCAGAATCCACTCGGTTCTCACTTCCTCTTAGTCTACGCACAGTTCACCGACCGCCCTGACCCAGTTATGAAGAGCACTAGAAGCATCACATTAGAGGAGAGAAGAAGGACTTGGAATAGAAGTGAGTTGAGGCTATTGGCAGCATTGAGCAGGAAAGGTCACTAGAAAAACTAAACAGACCAAAAATAAATAAATAAAAAATCAAAAGAGAACATTCTATGACGTATGTTCTGGGTAAGGAGTTATATAATGCATTTTAGAAATATTTCCATCTAACATTTAAAAGTTAATGTATTATCTGGAATCTTTGGTAATGAAGTATTAGATATACCTCAGAAGGCTTTGTGGTGTGGAATCATAATATAAATAAGCCCTCCACCCACCCACCCCCCCAAAAAAACAACCTCTGATTCATT